GATGGATGGATGGATGGATGGATGGATGGATGGATGGATGGATGGAACTGCACCACCTGGGTGAAATGAAGCTATTTTGACCATTGAATACATACATAATAAACACAAAGGGTCAGTGGTGACGCATAATGAATACGACTTATATATATATATGTATAATTTCCTCTTCATGACGCTTTTTTGACTGATGCGACTTATAGGCTGAAAAATATGGTACTTAAAAACTATTCTTTGATCATTTAGATTAAGTGAAAACTAATTCTAAACACATTTTACAAATACAATACTATTCTTCAAGTTGATGAGGCAATAAAAAAAAGATGTTTTAGGAAATTTATACTATCAGGACCAATCACATGTTTTTTCATAGTCTCGTCATTTTGAGTCAAATTTTGCTTTTTGCTTCTTTACAGTGTTTACCTGACAGAATGAAATTTTGTCTGAGCGTTTTTGATGTCAGGAAATGATGAGTCTTAGAGATGCTGAGTCTGCTGCAGCTTCAGAAGGTGAAAACAAACCAAAAGAGCAAGCTGAACATCTCTAAAAGGTTTTAAAAGATCGTGAGAAACAGCAGCTGTGCAGTAAGTCTATCAGATCTTCAGTAAGAACAGATGTTTTTTGTGACCCTTTGTTCAAAGAGTAATTTAATGGGAAAAGATTATGTACAATCAATCTTTTACCTGATGCAAATGGCTCTCAAAATGAGCAGTATAGTGACATAACTGAGTTAGTGGCTACTCCTAGAGTGGTCAAGACCAAAATTGAATACTCTTGTCTTAAAACGACTCCAATCTCAAAACTTTTTCAGTGCAATTGCAATTTTATAACATTAACACCTCTGTCAGTTTTGCATTACAAAGTTAAAATATTAAGATATTACTGTAAGTGCCTCAGATTGCACAGGTAAGATATTAATGGTTCACAACCTTTCAACAGAACCCGACTTCAAGAGATTTGAACTGTCACTTTAATGTGGAAATATAAATGGCTCTTTCAAAGATTCTGTTGAAAACCCTTTAATCTGGTTTAAAAGATGTTAAAAGAGAAGCGCATTGTTTTGTTCACTGATGGTCAGACTCCAGGTCCAAGCTCAGATAAGCACGATGACATCATTGTGACGTCATGAGCGTGCTGCACTCAAACACAGCTACACAAGAGATTATTCATTAACTCAACTGATTCCAGGCTGTGTGGCGATCATCACTAGCCATTGATGCTTTTCTGATTCCTCCCATCAACCAATGTGTAGATGACCTCTGAGGGACTTGTTTCATAAATATTAAGAAAGCTTGTAAAAGAAAAGTGTGAATTATTTTGAGGTATAATTAAAAAGACTCTCTTTAATGAGGCGGAAACATCATTTAGAATAATTCATGAGCACTGACTCTCCTCCAGTCTGCGCTCTTTGGAAATGAAAGATAGTGAGTGGGCTTGTTTCAGACCAGCTGCACAACCATCACCACCCTGACTGTACAGTGTGTTCTTTGTGTCGCCCTTCATTGAAATATCCCAGGATCATCCCTGACCCCAAACCACTGAAGCTGTGCATCATGACTGCGCAGGCTTTTGGACATATATTTCCTTTCTGCATTGCATCAGATCATCTTCTGCTGATGATCAGAATCAAGTCTCAGGTATAGGTGGGTTTGTGTCCTAAATACACGAGCCGACTCCCTGCCAGTGATCCACTGATGCTCTTTAGCTGTAATCTTCTCTAGTGGGAGGCGACAGACATTTCCAGCAGGAAGAGGACTGACACATGTGCATCGTTATTCTTATGCAAGGTTGTCCTCGTTTTACACATGTTCAGATCTACTGGAGCTTTTTACATTAAAAAAAGGAACATATTAGACCTTTTAATGCGTATAATGCAAGTCTTTTAGGCTCAATAGACCTGATTTAGCTCAATGAAACTCATTGTCTTTGCTATGTCCAATAATAATTATTTTATTATAAGCAAATTAAATAAAAGTAACATTAAAAGCAATCATTTTGAGGATGAAGCTCAAATAAGACATAAAAACAACGGAAATAAAACGACAGATTCATATTTTAATTATGTTTAAACCGAACGGCCACCAAAACCTGCAAAAAAAGTTAGGTAGGTAGGTGTTCCAGTTTAAACAAGATAAATCCAGTGAGAGGGGAGACGATTCCTAAAATTTCATTTTTACTCACCCTCCTCTACAACTTTTTTATTATTTGGATTTATGTTTGTTAATTATTGAATTATGTGAAAAGCTCACGACGTTGCTGCATCTTCCAGGATCAGGACGTTAGAAGCTGAAGGGCTGCGACAAACTGGTTGAATCTTTTAACTTTTTTACATTAATTTTGGGGTAAAATGTCCAACGCATGTATGCTGTGTAATGAATTTTAGTGGAGTATAAGTTAACATTTTCTTTCTGAAAAATTGTGAGAATTTATAACCAGGTGAAAAACTATGTTATTTGAATAAGTATGACTCACTTCAATGTGTCTGCAAGTGTTTTATTTCTTCAAAGGAGTGATTCAGATTTATAACATGCCTCACCTTTTTTATTGCTTTAATTGTAAACGGCTTTAAAATAATTAATCTCCCTGAAACATTTGGAAATCACTTCATTTTTCATAATTAGCATTTGACTCATGTAATTTTTGTCAACACCACAGAACTGATCCGAAAGCCTTTTCATCGCTACCTCTAAATTAACCTGAACGGAACTAAAGTTTACAAAACTGTGCAGCTCCTGACCGAAAAAACAAAATATAATTTCTTACATCATGAACATCCCTCGGTCTTCCAAAAAGTTCTTGTAAAATTGAACATCCCCAAAAAGATAAAAACACATGGTTTGGGTTTGTCTCAGATTATTCCCAAAGGTGCAAACGCCTCCTGCTGCAGTGAAACTTCTGGTGGAAGCAGGAAAGAAACAAAGTCTTCAGTGAAGTAGCTTCAGGGAGGTGCTGATGCTGCCAGAGGTGATGAGATGTGGACGCAGTGAGCCTCCGAGTCCAGAGGGAGGAGTCAGCAGCACGGGAAGATGAGTGCATCAAACCACCACCATCCACAGACATGAACACGACGTATGTGGCAGAGATCCTTTATCCATCCTGTATTCCCTTCACGTGGGAACGAGGACACTGTAGTTTGCCTTTTCACACACCGTTTTTTTTTTCTCCCCTCGAGATTAAATAAAGTAGTTTTTGTGCTGTTTTTCACTTCACAAGCTCATGCTGGGCTGAGTGGAGGCAGGATGAAGGCTCAGCACTGACATCTGTTGGACGCACAAGAGCACGCCACACTCAGAAATTTCAGACGAATGCAGTTTCTCTCATATTTTCTACATTTTAATCAAAGATGTAAAAAAAATAAAGATACTTAAAACAAAAGAATAATCACTTTTATTCTAACAAACTAATTAATGCACAGTTTCTCACCAACATTAAGTTTTAACTGTCCTACTTGTACACATAAAAGTACATCTGGTTAAATGTTTGTCAAAAGATTAATGTTATAGACTTGTTAAGCTAAAACCGTCCACCGGTGAACTGTAAAACAAACATTTTATCAACCACCAAGTCAAACATTCATGTAACAGAGAGATATCAAAGTTTAAAAAATAATAATAAAATCTACAAAGTGTTGGAAAATAGCTAACTCTACGGATATCTCGTTACGTAACGCTATTAGAAATGAGAAGCGCGTGAGTAAAAGTGGACCAGCTAGAACTCGGAGTCATTTGTCATGGGTTCAATTTTCGGCAGAAGCGAAGCGTCTTGGCTGATGGTTTTGTCGGCGGCAGCTCTGTTCAAGCCCAGCCTCTTCTTCATCAACTTGTCCTCGTTGTTCAACTTTGTGCGGATTGCGGTTTTTATTAGGTTGCTGTCGACGCCAAACTTCCCTGCAACGTGATCTGAGGGAAAGAACCGCAATCTCGCTGTAACTGTGAGGTTTACAGATACTTAGCAAGGATTTGTGTCGTCGATCTTACCCATGAAGCCTTTTAAAATCTCCGATGGGAGAGCAGGCTTGTGGTTGTCCTCTCCTATTAGTGAGCTCTTCCGGCTCTGAAGGCAGTGTGTGGCCAACGTGTCTCTGTCGAACAGTATCATCAGCAGCGCTGAAACGTACTTCTTGTAGTCAGCGATTTCTGCGATGCGCTCGTAGAGATTTTTGGGCACCCGAAGACTTTCACTCAGATAAAGGAAGTTAGGGTCATCCTACAAAAACAAACAAAAAAAAGTGAGCTCCAAAAGCATTTTCAAAACAAACTACCAACTACTGAACACAAGCTGAAAAACAACAAGCATCCAGACACTGAAGTAATGTAAACCTAGTATTCTCTAAAATAATGCATATCACCCAGAATCATTTTATGTGAAATGACAGAGTCTCAGCTGATTTGGTCAAACCTAAAAAAAAATAAAAAGAAAGGCCTTACGCGAGTTGTTGTGCTCACAGTATGTGTTGTGAATGACTCTCAGCTACTACCACACCAAATGTCAGCGTAATATATTTTTGTAAATCTAACTGGGTTGTGGACATTTTTGTGCTGGGCATGCTCGATTAGCTGTGGCAGACATCCTGAATTGAATTGACTCCAAAAGTTAATCAGGTGTGAAATCACATCCAATGATTATTTTCTGAGACTTTCATTAAGATGCATCCAGTAGTTCAGTTGATATTTTGCTAACAGACAAACAAGGTTGACTCCAACAGCTAATGTCTGTTTCAAGTAAAGATCTCATAACGGGTAGTCGGGTACTACCACACCAAATTCCAGCTCAGTATCTGTAAAATTAAAGCACTTATAGCCATTTTTGTGTTTACTAAGTTTGATTAAGGTCATCTTCAAGGTCATTATCAGTGATTTAGGAGCCATCTTGAATTGCCCTGATGCATGCTCAATAATCCAGGTAGAAAAATCTAAAAAAGTTCAATCTGGTCCTCTGGACATTCAAAAAAAACAAAAACAAAGCAAAACAACAAAAAAATGTAGATACGTTTCGTCTTTCATCCAAGAAACTTCCTCAGTCTGAGGTGCTGTATTCAGCTCAGTCTTATAAATAGCACCTTCTCAGAGTGGACCAACCAGTTTGCTGCTGACAACCAAAACCAGCTGCTCAAGTGATCCATTGTTAGGCTGATGATCCTTCTTGATCATGTGAGCAGCTGGTTTTGGTTGTCAGCAGCAAACTGGTTGATCCACTTTGAGAAGGTGCTATTTAAGAGACTGAGCTGAATACAGCACCTCAGACTGAGGAAGTCTCTTGGATGAGAGACGAAACGTTTCTACATTTTTTTTTTTTTTTTGTTTTGTTTTTTGAATGTCCAGAGGACCAGATTTAACTTTTTTACATCTTGAATTGTGTTAACTTCAAAAGTAAATCAGTTTTAGACGTCAACCAAATTATATTTTTTTGTGTGTTTCATAAAAATCTGTCCACTTTCCTGAGCTATTATGCGATTACAAACACAGACAGACAAGATTTATACTGTCTACCGTATTTTCCGCCGTAAAAGTCGCATCGCCCTTTAAGTCGCATCAGTCCAAATATGTCTAATAAAATGGAAAATCCATAAATATGTTGCTTCGCCGTATACGTCGCATCTATTATGCATCACCGCTGATGCGTCGTGTTTGTTATGCGTCACCACTGACAACCCGGAAATGTGGGCCGGTGTTGTGCCAAAAATCGATTGGCTGCCAAATGGCGGACGCAGGAGCGTGCACGGGAGGACTTTAACAAGAATTTAACAAGAATAACACTTAAAAACAATTATTTGTTTGCTTGAAATTATAGCAAAGGTGTGTCTTAGTTAAACTTTTACTTAATAAATGCAATTCAATGGTCAAATCAGCTGAATTTCAAAAGCCGATACCTGGAAGTAAGCGCATGCACGGAAGGACTCGCTGTGCATTTCTTCAAAATTTAACATGATGACCACCTAAAAACAATTATTTGTTTGCTCAACTTTATAGCAAAGGTGTGTCTCAGTTGAACTTTTACTTAATAAATGCAATTCAATGGTCAAATCAGCTGCATTTCTCGGGGGTGGTGCAGTGAAATGAAGAGGATTTGACGGTTGCTCCAGGCCAGCTGGACGAAGGTGGCAGGCTATGGCAAGCCGACTGTGTCATTAATAGCCACTTTTACTTATTACATGGCACACAATACTACTCGAGTGCCATCTAGCAGCTGAAAATGGTAGTGTTCAATATTTTCAGTCAGAATGAATGAAAACAGTCATATCTCAGCCAAAAATTGGTTTATATATAAATATGGGAAAAAAATCAAACAAGTTGCAGGGCATGTAAATTATGCAAAAAAAATGCAACTTATAGGGCAAAAAATACAGTGTTTTTGATGAGGATATATTAATGAACTCTCTGCCTTTAACTGTAGTGGTGTGAATTGAAATAAATGTCAGTTGACAGGTGATTGGACACGTCACTGACATATCAGTTGACTTTGATAACAGTTACTGTTTTAAATGTGCTATATAAATAAATGGGACTTGACTTGGAGCACTCACCTCTTGCATATTATCAACTGTTCTCATCTGTACTTCAGGCTCTGGCAGGAACGTCACAAGTTCCTCTGGGTTTTGTGACCCAACCGTTGCCGGACCTCCGTGGAGAACATGATCCAGAGTGATTCGGAGCTCGTGTGCCGTGTGCCTCATCTGCAGCATCAGGCTGTTCATCTCTGGGAACGTGTTGAATTGAGGAGGGAAAACAGACATGTAACAAGTGAGGATAGAGAGGTGAATATTTTATGACGTGCTCACAGCTTAGCCAACATGTTCAGTAAAATGTAAAACTGTCCTCATTAAAAATGTATAAAAGATCAGTAATTCAGTTCAAGACTACAATTTGAACATTAACCTAAGACTCGAACTCTTGCATATGTGGATATCAGGTTGTCCACATATGTGGATGCCAGGTCCTAGGAGGTTAATTAAATACTAATTTAATGTCTTCCACCATGCTTCACAGATTATTTTTTTTATCTGTGCTGATCGTCCTCATCTTTCCAGTGATTTCTGATGAGTATTCAAAAAGAACCTGCATATTTTGCATCGGAGCAGAAAAATTACTGCTGAAGATTTGACCAATCGCTGCTCAGATGTATAAACAGTCAGTGCAAGAGTTTCAGTCATTCCCAAGAGTTTTCAAAAGATTTCTTGCTCAATGCAAGAATGTCAAAAAGGAAACAAGATGGCAAAAGCTAAATTTTCTATTTCTCCTGACCTGTTTTAACCATTTTGTAAACAACACCAATAATGGACTAATGTATGCAGCAGTTTATAACAAGCAATTATTGGCTTCAAGAAACATTTTATTCATTTTTTAATGAAAATGAGTCCAAAAATGTTGATTGATAAAGTCAAACATTTATTAATATATATATATATATATATTTGGTGTCCTGTTATGTAATCTGTTGCTATGTGCTTGTTCTGTTTGTCCCTGTACAGCACTTTGGTGTGCTTTGTCACTGTTTAAAGTGCTATATAAATAAATTGGTATGGTATGGTATATATACATATATATATACATATATATACATATATATATATATATATAATGCTTGCCTGTCAGATTTTGAACTATTCTGTGTGTTATTGCTGAGTAAACAAATCAAAACTGCATGAATGACTCCAAAATGCTGCAGCTCGGCTACTAACATGAACTCGCAGGTTACAGCACGTTTCACCGGTTCTGTCCTCCCGTCACTGGCTCCCTGTGCGTGTCAGAATTGATTTTAAATGCTTCTGCTGACATTTAAGTGCATTAATGACCTTGCACCCTCATACCTCTCTGACCTTCTTCATCCTTATGCTCCTTCTTGGGCTTTGAGATCAGACCAGCTGCTTGTGGTTGTATCAAACACCAGGTTGAAGCTCAGAGGAGATGGAGCATTTTCAGTCATGGGCCTTAAGCTCTGGAACAATCTGCCCCTTAACATTCGACAGGCCACTTCAGTCCCTGCTTTTAAATCTCTCCACAAATCACATCTATACTCATTGGCATTTAACCCAGGGCGATCTGATTAAGTATTTCATTGTTTCTACTTATGTTTTGTTTTTGTGCTTTTATTCCTGATGCTGTAATTATATCTTGTTATTTTTATTTGATGACGTGATCTTTTTGTTAAGCACTTTGGTAACAGTTCCTGTTTTAAATGTGCTATACAAATACATTTGACTTGACTTGACTGTGTCAAAGGGCATGAGCTCAACAGAACTTTTGCTATGTATTTTATTTGTTTGTTAAACACGTTGATCATTTGTGTTTCTACCCACCTCTGAGCTCCCTCAGTTCTCTCTCAGCCAAAATTCTACATCTGCGTTCGTATTTGAGTTGTGCCTGAAGCTGGTCTATTTTCATGAGAAGGCTGATGGTGTCTGTTCTGATGCCTGAAGCTGTAAAACTGTCTTCATCAAAGTCAATGACTTCATGCTGCCAAACAAGAGAGGGGGTAAGAAACAGAACATGAGCAATTGTCTTTACACCATCCACATGTTGATTTATTTCTGTGAAATCCTGGAGTTTCTCACCTCATTGTTGGGAGGAGGTGAGGGGCTGGACTCTTCTGCCATCCTGAATCTCTCCTCCATTGATTCAGAATGAAAGTCCTGCATATCTCCATCCCCGCCAATCTTTATCACCTTCACATGAGGTTCTGTTGGACTTGCTGTTCCACGGCTTCTTTTTGGTGCCATCAGAAAGGAAAATGGGGAAACCTGAAAGAAAAATAAATAAATAAAGCGCACATATTTCAAAAAGTCAGCTTTTCAGCACAGCTGGGGGGTACAGTCAAACTTCTGGAAATTTCTTGACACTATTTTTCTGTTTAATTATCAATGTTATTAAAAACTAATTCATGCAAAACACGGACATTTTTGTTTATTTGTTTGGTTCGCAACGCAAACACTGGCTCCCCCCCGTACCTCCTCCACCCCCCTCCTAACCTCCAGCAGCTGCCTGGAGCTACCGAGGGATTCAAACTTCATCTTCTCATCACATCTAACTCACCTTTAACACTGAACAGCATAAAGGAATAATAATTTTAAAAAACGCTCGCCTAAACGCCCAGACTGCCTTCAAGGATAAAATAAAAACACAACCGTTCAATGAGGACAAAGACAGCGGAGTACATGCAAATACTGCGTAGTAGAGGAAGTAGTAGTACTACTCCAGTATTACAGTAAATAGGTCCTGATATATTTACGACTAGATCTCATTACTCGAGCAAAACATTTCCAGTTAAATACGCTTGAAATACCGTGCTTATATTTATGTTTCGCTGTGTGTGGAGTTCATGTGTACACAACCGCTGTTTTTTAAATTCATATTTTCTTAAAAGTACGTGTGGAACAAAGCTGTGCAAAAGTAGTTCCCGTGGGAAGCATTTCGGCCGAGTACAGTTTCCTGTTAATCCTGTTTAGTAATTCAACCAATTAAAATCGGGTATTTCAACAAAGGGCGGGACGTGTGAAAACGGACGTGACTTCTAGCCAATCAGAACGCGGTTACTCTAGGCATGAACGTTCAGCAGCATGATCGCAGTCTTGCACACATGTGGGGTTTATGTTGCTAGTAAAGGAAAGTTGGAGTGTTAATTAAAGTTTATTGTAAAACGTTTCATTTGACATGTTATCATGTCTTCTTCATTCTTTATTAAGACGAAATCAAACCCTAAATTAGCCAAAAAAGGAAAAGATACAGCGGCGTCAAAACGAAAGGTAAGAGAACTCAACTGTTAGCCAGCAAGCTAATCACGTTAGCGAACAACACGGTTATTTAATTTACACTTACTAAGCCTGTCTGTGGATGATTAGAAAATGTCTCTGTCTTCTGGGGCAGGGTGATGGTGGTTCAGGTGGAAATATCAAATTAATCGCGAAAAAAAACATCCACAAATTCAACGAAGAGATTTCCAGTGACTCTGAGACAGAAAGGTGCATTTCTGTATACAACCTTTCAAATTAAATCTGAATATTACGTACAGATAATTTGTTTTAACATGGCTGTGTTGTGTTTGGTTCTGTAGTCCTGCAGTGACCAAGAGGAGAAGGCAGGCCAAAGAGGAGATTAAGTATGAGGAAACTCCCCAGGAGAAGAAGCTCAGATTAGCTAAACTTTACCTGGAACAGCTGAAGGAAGAGGGTAAAATTGTGTACACAAAGCTTTATTTTGTACCACTATATTGTGTGACGTGACTGTTTTAAAAAGAGGATTTGTTCTTAACAGAGGAAAATAAAGCTGAAGATGATGCCTTTGAGACCGATTTGATCGCAGGAAGACTCCAAGAAGAAGTGGTAAGAAGAGTCTCCTGTTTGTGTACTGATGATTTGAGAGCAAATTTCATAATGCTACTTTAATTATGCAAACCCCATAAGAGGCAGAAAAATACTTCAAACTCAATAAGTACAGCTGTTTATTCACAATATACATAACACAAACAATTACTTGTTTTTTTAAGAATACTGTTAAAATGGTTTTGGAGTTGAAGCTTTAGTTTTCAGTCCCTTTGCTCTGCAAATTTAATGCATTCTCAGATCTACTGAGGGTTTTTTTGTCTTTTGGTTACTACAATTTTGCTAAAATGACATCTTATTTCATACACATAGCAGGTCTTTTAGGTTTTCCATTTGTGTTTAAAATCAGTGTATATAGCTACTGATTCTCCACTCAGGTGCTACCAAATTTGATCCGAAGCTGAATCAGCTCTAAAATGCAGCTCTCAATAATACACTTGTCCTTTTTCTTTTTTTAATGTAACAAAAAGCTGGTTTGAAACAGGCCTATATTATATTTCTGCAAGAAAGAGTAGAGAAACGTAAGGACTTTACTTATGACTTGGATCAAAAATATTAAGAACAATTCAGAAATGCTTGTTGTTTCTCTAGACTTTGATTTTTGCAGGGGTGGGCAGCACAAATCCAGTCCCTATGTTGACCTAAGCTGAGCCACAGTCACATTATTTTTTGTCCAAATAGAAGAAAAAAAGAAATGCATTTCATATTGTACTCCATTCTACCAATAGTGATGGAAATACATATGCTTTTAAAAAATTGGACTAATAAAGCCAAATTTAAAATGTTTATCTTGTTTTGTTGTTATTATTGTGTGTTTGTTTTTGAATGATCTGTTGCTGTACTTAATTTCCCCAACAGCTTGAGCAGAAAGGAAAACTCCAACGTATTATTGCCAAAGATGTAAGTGAGCATGTTCACTTGTTTGCATCCTGCAGCCTGTCTAGTTTCGGTTTTACTTGATCGTCTTTCTGCCTTTCAGCTCATCCCACCCGATGCTTCAGAGATCAGAGTATTCAAGGGACACAAACTTCCACTTACCTGTCTTGTCATCTCACCTGATGACAAATGCATCTTCTCTGCTGCCAAAGACTGCTCAGTCATTAAATGTTAGTAATCAACAAACTCTATTGTGGTTTTAATTTCATTGGAACAATTATGTTTGCAAACCTTTTACTTGACTGGTTTCTCTTATGTTCAGGGGACATTGAAAGTGGCAGGAAGCTGCACACGATACATGGAGGAAGGAAAGGAACAGAAGAGTGCCATGTTGGACACACAGCTCACATCCTGTGCATGACCATATCCTCAGATGGAAAATATTTGGTGAGGATTATCCTCTCTTTTACTTGCTTCTGTTAGTTAGTTCCAAGTAAATGACAGCTGTGTTGCATTCTTTTAGGCCACTGGAGACATGAACAAACTGATCATGATCTGGGAGGCAGAAACTTGTAAACATCTGTATAAATTTACAGGACACAAAGGCCCCGTGTCGGTAAGTTCCATTCTTTCATGCTTAGCTCCGTGTAGCCGTAATCTTTTTATAATTTAAAATAAATGTTTGCTATGTGATGACTAGTATTTGTGTTTTTCCTTCTCAGGGTCTTTCCTTCAGGAAGGGGACTCATGATCTGTACAGTGCTTCTCATGACCGTTCAATCAAGGTGTGGAATGTAGACGAGAACGCATACGTGGAAACCCTGTAAGTAACTGGTTGGAAGATCAGTTTGTTCCTTTCCTGCCATTTTCTTCATGCATAATGTTTGAATTAAACTGAGATTGGGAATTTCTGTAGCTTTGGCCATCAGGATTCGATCACAGGTCTAGACAGTCTGAGCCGTGAACGCTGCGTGACTGCAGGGGGGCGGGACGGCACTGTGAGGGTGTGGAAGATAGCCGAGGAGTCCCAGCTGGTGTTTCATGGACATGGGTGAGTTTCTTTGAATCTCTGACCCGTGCTTCTCTAGCGTAGGTTTTTATTTTGTTTTTAGTCTTTGTGAGTGTGAGAATGTTGTACATGCTTTTATATTCACAGTATTCTTGTCTGCTGATCTACATTGTTAAATTCAGAGGACCTATAGTTTCACTAGTAGTTTAATATCCTGTGAACATGAGCTGGTTTTTCAGCAGACAGAAAATATGGCCAAAAAAAAAGAAAAGGAAAGAAGTTGATACAATTTTTCATCAAGAATTTGACTCAGTTTTTGTTTTGTCTGTCTGTAATTGTCCATATGTGAACAACATACATTTTCACACTTTGTTTTCTTCATAACAAATATTGTTTATTTGACTGCCAGTCCTTTTAATCTATTTTGCCTTTAAGACAGTTTTATTGTTGTAAAAAGCGTTGTCAGCTTGTGCAGTCCACAAGTAGTAGCACTACATGTAGTTATTAAATAACTACATGAACTGAAATCCTGTAAATATAATCCCTTTGAATGAAATAATCATTTTAGGGGTGAAATCTGTGTCTAGAATTTAAAAAAAATTAAGTTAATTTATACTCTTCAAAGGACTTCCTGTGCTATAATTTTTTAAGTTATATCTGACAACCCCTCAACTAGAGAAAAGTTGTTAAAATCCCTCTCTTCCTTCAGAATGATGTTGGTCTTGATGGTGCAGATTAAAGTCTTCATACAACTTCAACGCTTCATTAGAGAACACTATACTGTATACTTTTACTAAGGTCATGCACACAGTATACTATATACATTTGCTAAGGATATGTACTTCACATGCAATGGGGATAACCGCACCCTGGAGAGGATGGTGAAACAAAACCCATTCCAAAATGGGGGAGATTCACAAAGGGTGGACTGCAGCTGGAGTCGGTGCTTCAAGAACCACCACGCACAGACGTATGCAAGACATGGGTTTCAGCTGTCGCATTCCTTGTGTCAAGCCACTCTTGAACAAGAGACAGCATCAGAAGCGTTTCTCTGCGTTAATTCATATATGAACATGTAAAACTGGTCCATTTTGGAGACAAATTTTCATAGAGACGTTGGGCTTAAGTTTTGTGTGGTAATAGCTGAGAGCAATCCACAAAGTGTCTCCCGAGCAGTACACAATATGTGAAATAATTTCTTGATACCTTGACGTTAATCGTTCGTATCAGCCAATTTGTCTGTTAGCAAAATATTTTAACCACTGTGAATTTTACTGAAAGTGTGCATGGTCATCACATCTACAACTGATTAATTTTTGGAGTTATACTGGTTCAAAATAAAACACCAAATGGAAGTCCCCTTCAAAATTTATCCTGTCATTTTTTTCTTTCTTTCGTTCTTTTAAGATTCCAGCAAATCTCAAGCAAATGGGAAGATAATTTAATCTGATTGGGTGGTAACAATGTTGGAACTGTCGTTCACTCCTTGAGATGGAACATTGGTATCATGGTGTTTGTTCACATTGTAAGACGAGGTTGTGCACAGACTCCACTCCGTGCTCGTAATTTTTCAGCGTAATCCGTTGCCTTTACTGAAGACGAAGTGCATGTTTCTGTGAAAAGACGGGGCCTTACGTAATGTGTTGCATCGTCTTCATTGTTTGTCCCTCAGTGGTTCAATTGACTGTGTCCAGCTCATAAATGAAGAGCACATGATAACAGGAGCGGATGATGGGTAAGAGCCGCCATTTTTCTGTTTATTGTTGCTCCGCGTTGTTTTATCCAGGATCTCTTTGTGCTGCCGGACTCATTCATGTTTCCCTTTCATACCCTCTTCATTTTCCACACACACTCAGCTCTCTGTGTCTTTGGAGTGTCAACAAGAAGAAGCCTCTCTGCACGGTGAAGCAGGCTCACGGTTGCCATGGCGACTCGGGGCTGGAGCAGCCTCATTGGGTGGCCTCAGTCGCAGCCCTTCAGAACTCCGATACCGTCGCCTCAGGTGCTTTGGGCTGTGAGAATCACAAGCTTTTTACTTACACAGACACAAGATCACCAGCTCTTCACAAACGTTTTATCAAATGAATCTATTGTGGTTTTAATCATTTTTTCTTTATAAATGTTAGATTTTTAGCTTAATTTTAAGTGCTTTATATGATTCAGATGTGACCAAACGTAACTTTTTTTTTTTTTTCAGGTTCTCATAACTCTCAGGTGAATGTGTGGAAATGTGGTCAGAGCTATCGTGGATTGGAGCTTCTCTTCTCTGTACCAGTGGTAAACAAAATGCAAATTGTTATTTTTTAATAAACTGATCCTTGATGATGAATTCCCTCTGGAACCCAAATTGCCATAAGCCAGCTAAACAAACAGTCGCTTTTGTCCTCTGCCTTCTGTTTCCAGAACGGTTTTATCAACAGCCTGAAGTTTTCCAGCTCTGGTCAGTTCTTGGTAGTTGGAGTCGGACAGGAGCACAGGTAGAACATTATGGGTCACGTTTCCATGGAAACTGCGTGCAGAGGTCCAGACAACTGATGCAAATCAGTGCAGGCTCATGTTGAGAATATTAACTTCCACTAGATGGCAGTTTTGGTCCATCCCTGCTCCAGATCTTCATATATCTAACCAGGTTTTCTTTAAAGGATTGGATCGCAGGAAGGGGAATACTCAGTTTTATTTCTTAAAATACACTTTTTATATCCATCCATCCATTTTCTTCCGTTTATCCGGGGTCGGGTCGCGGGGGTAGCAGCCTAAGTAGGGAGGCCCAGACTTCCCTCTCCCCAGCCACTTGGGCCAGCTCTTCCGGGGGAATCCCGAGGCGTTCCCAGGCCAGCCGAGAAACATAGTCCCTCCAGCGTGTCCTGGGTCTTCCCCTGGGCCTTCTTCCGGTGGGACGTGTCCGGAACACCTCACCAGGGAGGCGTCCAGAAGGCATCCTAACCAGATGCCCAAGCCACCTCAACTGGCTCCTCTCGCCGTGGAGAAGCAGCGGCTCTACTCCGAGTCCCTCCCGGATGATCGAGCTTCTCACCCTATCTCTAAGGGAGAGCCCAGACACCCTGCGGAGAAAACTCATTTCAGCCGCTTGTATCCGAGATCTCATTCTTTCGGTCACAACCCAAAGCTCGTGACCATAGATGAGGGTGGGAACGTAGATCGATCGGTAAATTGAGAGCTTCGCCTTTTGACTCAGCTCTCTCTTCACCACAACAGACCTGTACAGCGCCTGCTTCACTGCAGACGCTGCACCTATCCGCCTATCGATCTCAAGCTCCAATAATCAGGAAGGGGAATACTCAGTTTTATTTCTTAAAATACACTTTTTATAGTAAAAACAAAATGACAACTCACAAATTTTGTTCTAGAAATGATAATTATCTGTTAAGCGATGGTATTTATTTGTATAAGATAATTTCTTAACCTTGTTTTATTTATGGATTTATTTTCATTTACACTATTCAGTTAAAATTCAGTCATTTGAGTTTAGAACTGATTCAGTGAAATGAATCAGAAATGCTTCCTGTAGTTTTCAGTAACATCTGCATGTCTGGACTACTGTCATGTACGCTACTTATTTAAAAGAATGACACATCTTTCTTTAGATTTAGGTTCATATTTAGATTTTATCTGATTTATGCATCATATTCAAAGCTGATAATTTAAAACTTTTTATGTTTACAGATTGGGGCGATGGTGGAGATTAAAAGAAGCCAAAAATGGCATCTATATCATTCCTCTGAAAAGAAAACCTCAGGGTGCAGAAGGAAATCAAGTTGACTGAATAATGAAATACCTGTTTTGTAAATAAAAAGCTTAATAAACTGGATGCAGTTTTTATTCTTCTTGCTGTTGTATACAGGGTGCGAAGTATTCACAGGTCTTTGCTGTGAGCTTCTGTGCTATTTTATAAAAAATGCACTTTCCCTTTCAGTGTAAGAATCAAAGCATTGTGGGTAAATTGGGCCGTTCCAGGATTAAGATGTGAAGAAGCAGCTCTGCAGGAACTGAACCAAGACGTTTTCTTTTCGTTTCCTTCCATAATAACTTCTGCTCAGGTTATTAATAGTTTGAGGTAACATTTATACAAACGAGATATCACAGAGGACCTGACTTAACTTTTAGATTTTTCTACCTGGTTTGTTGAGCATGCATCAGAAAACTCTTCATATGCTTTGTTGGTAGAAGACCTACAGGTAATGCTATTAATTTACCTGAAATCAACTGTAGGACAAATATCCGAACAACTCGCATTTTAAAAAAAGGAGTAATTCTTGAAGACTACCTTTTATATAGTGGTAACTTGCAATTATACTGCAGATTGAAATGTATGTTGTGTACATAAATGTACAGGTCTCTTGTAAATGAGTCCTTGTGGCTCAATGAGACTAGGCTGTATAAATAAAGGTTGAATAAATGTTCAATGACAAATCCTGTCTGTGTTTTTACTGTTCTTGGTTGTTTTGCAGGTGTTCTGGTTACTTTTTTTTACCAATCTTAGTTATTTTTATCCATTTATGTTGTACTAGAAGTCTATAACAGTCTTTTGCTGTTACAGTGGCAGTCATTTCTGTCATTTAAATCATTTAAAGTTGGTTTAAAAATGGTAAATGGACTATTTATACAGCACCTTTCTATCTTATCAAGATACTCGAAGCTCTACAATCTGTGTCCTCATTCATCCATTCATACAGCACTTTACTAGATCTAAACAGAATAATCAGTGCTTTATCACATTCATAAATCGATGGGACACATCGGAGGCAATGAGGGGTTCAGTGTTTTGCCCTGGGACACTTCAACATGTGACTGCTGGTGGAATCGAACCCCCAACTCTTGCATTGGAAGACGACAACTCTAACTACTCAGCCACAGCCGGCCCCCAAAATGAAACTGATTGACTGAAGATCTCTATAAATAAATTTAATTTGTGAGAACTGAACAAGCAGAAAAGATAACATTGTGCATATAGAAATATTTAGTCAATTTGCTTCAATAAACAGAAGTCATTGAATGGCATGTCTGCACTCTTTAGATTCAAGTATTTAATTAGAAAACATCTTATTTACATAAATTACAAGAAAACACAGAAACTAGTCTACAGTAACATGTCCTTTATAGTGTTGAGTATTTTTTTTAATCATTCCCTACAATTAATTACACATTTTAACAGTGTTAAACTTATTTCATAGCATTTTTTTCAACAATGTTAACATCTGGATATATTCACAGCACTGTTATGACAAGAAAGAAAATGCCTTTTCATATTACACTATTGCTTCACAACCACCCATTTGACAATGAGACTCTTTAGGACAAGGCACAGTGCAAATAAACACATCTACCTGTAAACCAAGGAGATCACAGCATTTACAATCTATACATGAAAAGGCTTTACAGCTGGTACATACTGCTGGATGTAGGATCGTTAGCTTTCACAGTTAGAGCTATGTTTGCTGCTGCCGGTCACTTGACCCTGACAGTTATCTGCAACATGAGATGATGTGGGGGGAGGTCAGTCCATCACTCAGGGTCCTGTTTGATGGAAGGATGACTGATGGTGGGGGGTCTTTTGTGCTTACAGAGGAAACTTTTTCACAAAGAGGACGTTGTGGAGTCCACCACCTCGCGGCCATTACACACTGCTGGCACGTAGTTGGAGGCTGATCCTGAGAGGAAAAGAGTCGTGACATTAGCCAGAGCTTTATTTTGTTAATTTAATTTTATTTCTCTGCTGATAAGAAGCATGACTGAACCAGAGATACACACTAAGCAGCAAATGATGGAAATTGGCTTTTTAAAAATTTTATTATTATTATTATTATTATTATTATTATTATTATTTGTTAAATAAATATTAGAAAAGTGTTTTAGATTAAAAAATTCTGCATACCGGACACAACATAGAAAGATTTATGTTGGCCTTGTTGCTGTTTTAAGTGCTTTATAAATAAAGTGGTATGTATGGTAAGGTTTAAAGCAATGGTTCTCAAACTGTGGTTCTCAGACCCCTGAGGGTCCGCAAATATACATATATATTCAATATTTTTTACATGCACATAGATGTTTAACAACTTGTTAAAATACACCAAAATGCAGGAACTCACATTTACTTAAATCAGAATTTTCTCGGGGAGGACCCCCCGCCACTCCCCACCTGCTATTTGCGTTCCGGCATCGATCGGTTTACAAATTAAGCCCTGTTACTTGGTGTGACTACTGCTGTTATAATTCTGTTCAGTTTGATGTAATTATGTAATCATTTGAAGAATTGGTGATACGCTATGTTCATTAATTGAATAGGTAAAGGTTTAAAGTGGTTTTTGATTCTCTTAAATTTCTCAAAACTGTAATTTTTGGAAGTTGAAACTAAACATTTTGTTAATTAATTGTGTCTTGAATGAAAAATACCCCATGTTTAAAAGTATAAAAATTGTATTACCACTATTAAAGAACAGGTCTTAAGTATTTATGTTACACAAATATTTCCATTGCATTAAAGAGACAAATTGATTACAAATATTTAATAATTATGAGGGGGTCCCCAAAACTTTTTCTCCTATGTCAGGGGTCCCTGAACCCAAAACGTTTGAGAACCCCTGATTTAAACATGCAAGGACCTTTCAATATGTTCTGCTTAGATAGCATAGATAGATACATAGATAGATACATAGATAGATACTTAGATAGATAGATAGATAGATAGATAGATAGATAGATAGATAGATAGATTCTGTAGTTAAGCTAGCTTTCTTGTATCTTCACATACAATAAATAAACATTATTTCTTTTTTCTTTGAAACTGTGAGCAAATACCAAATCTTTGCTATACTGGTTGAAAATAGTTGCTCTGTTTGTGAAATCCGGTCTGGAAAGTTGCTATTAACTTTAAAGACTGGGAACTCTGGGACTGAGTTAACAAATCCACCTAACCCTGTAAAGTTCACTAATTAAAACAATATTTTTCTCTTTTGTAATCTGCTGGGCAATTTCTTGGCTGGCTGGTTGGTTGGCTGGGAGCGCTGACTTGTTTAAATCTCAGCTTACAGTCTGAAAACCCATTACTGTTCGTCTACACATTACACAAATTAGATGCCACATAATGAGGTTTAGATGCTGATATAGACTTTTTCATTATGGATATTTTTATGCTAAATTAAGCTTCCCCACTCTTTTCTTTCCTTTTTGTTTAGCATAAAAGTGTTATACTTTTATAATGAAATCCTAGAAAAAGAAATTAGTGATTATATGTTCCAGAACTTCACTGTTATGTGGTCTGGTACAGACTAGTCATAAAAGTACAGCTTTTTTTAAGGTGCTGCCAAAATGGCAGAATAAATTTGGTTCAGTATTAATTGTGTCTTCACAGATGTGTTTATGCGCTCTAATGCTCCCCGTATCATCACAGATGCAGTTCCTCATCTTTTTAGCCCAGAAAATGTGGTATCCATGGTTTTCAAAAAGATATTTAAATGCAGATTTATCAGACCACAGGACAGAGTTCCACTTCCTCTCTTAAATTACTTCATGCTGAGAAAGCATCATTATTTTTGAATCTTTTATCTTTTTCATATCATTATGTTAATACAGTTTTTTTTTCTGCACAATCAAATTTTGACTCATTTTAAAAAAATATAGCATTAAATTGTATCCCTTTAGCAAAAACATTTTTTATGTACTACCACCAAGACTTATTATTTGAATTAAAAAAAAAATCTCAAACAGACTTTGCACTTCATCCGTAAACCTCTGTAAAGTACATTATAGTAAACATGGTTAAAGTTGATAAATGCATGAAAAGTAACCTAATTGAACATTTTTCACTTGAGCATCAAAATTAAGGTTGAAATCCTCTTAGCAGCCTGTGTGATTTCACTATAGTAACTGCCACAAATGACTAAATGTAATCAAGAAATCAATGTAAATCAATGAATCAACAAGACTGAAAGACATAAAACCCTCAGACATATTATCACTGAAAATTATGACCCAGCCAGCAAAGCTGCTGTTGGTGTTTGAAATGTGTACAGTCGAGTGTAATCTCCATAGAAATGGTACAATATACTACTGATATGAAGAGGCTGGTTCAAAGAAAGCATGACAGCTGGAAAATAAAAGGGGGCAAGGTCTCATCCTTGAGGTACACCACAAATTGAACAAGCCGTTAAATATTTATATACTTTTTATAATATTGTTGACAAAAATTCTATTTAAGAAGTATGAATGCAATAAATTAGGAGCCAAGTCCTTCACACTAACTGATTACTAACGCTGTAATTCACAGCACTGAATGTGGCACGTAGGTTTGAAAGAACTAAAATTAAGCTGTCAGTTCAGCACTCAATGGATGGTTATGAGTCACTTTAACAAGCACGCTTTCTGTATACAACATGCTCTTAGACCAAAGTGGAAACTGTTAAAAACACTGTTGTCGTTCCTAAATTATAGCAATTGTGCAGCAATTTTCCTTCAAGCCCAAGATAGAAGGGACATCTAGGTGATGGGTCTCTCGGGTTTCTTAAAGCCAAGAGATCCTAATTATGTTTCTTTTGTAGCAAATGCAGGTTTAAAACTGTCTGGAAAAGAACCAGAAGAATTCTTCAAAAATAAAAATTATAACACGGGTGACTGTGAAAAAGAGTTCCTTAAACTAGTGGGAATAAAATAAATCACTAATGTAATATAACTCAAAAGAAAAAAAGAATGTGGAAATTTATGTGAGCACCTTTAGAGAAGCTGGAGCTGGGAGCAGAGGCTGAAGTGGATACTGTGGCGCTGAAGCGACTCGCTGTGACTCTGAGTGAGGCCACGTTTTTCTGGGGTTGGAACAGGATGATGTGGATTTTGGGGGCAAACAGGCAGCCAAGAACCACAGAACCACTCAGACTGACGGAGATGCACATAGTGGTGGTCTGAACCTGAAATAAACAAAAGTTGGGTAATTATTCAACATATTTACAATTTAGAATCCCTTCTTCAATAAAAAAGACTGTTAAGTTTGCTCAAATGCCACCTGACCCCTTTAATTAAACTAATTAATTTGCTAATAGTATTTATATCCTACTCTGGTTACTCCCAAACTTTGAATTCAATCAGTAGATTTCATTCTCAACCATTCAGCAGTTTTCCACAAAGAATTTCAACAATCAGTTCAATTTCCTATTTTTCCCCCCCCAAGTCACAAAACAAACAGGACCTGAGTCAAACATGCATTGCCTTTGTGTAAAAAACATCTAAATGAAAAAAGATGTCCATTACCAACCTTAAAGTGCAATTTTTATGATTGATCATTAAAAAAAAATTTAATTTACTTTACAAGTTAAATATTCTGCTGATACGTTATAAACAAAAGGCACTTTTGGGTCTTAAATAGTCAATATTCTTGCATTATTAGCCACATTTACTTTTCTAATAATGATGTGTCCAAGGTTTTATATTATGCATGCTAGCAAATTCTAATTGTGAATTTGTATGTGCATGAATATGAGGGCGAAACGAAAGAATATGAGATAATAACAGCTGGCTGTCCCAGAAAGTCACCACCTTGTTAGTCATATTTCAGCTGCTAATGTGAGCTGACTGTTGGGGTCATCTTCCTGAGCTCAATCTCCTTCCACCCCACCGGGTACCCCTGCAGTCCAGGAACTTCTATTTACAGAACCACAGTTTGAAGTGAAAATCTTCCCTACACAAAGTGCACAACAAAAGCACAGCAGAAGTGTGTGAAGTTGTCTCTCGTTTTAACGTCAAAAAACAAGATGTGAGTGCCACCAAAAAGACTTTGTCCTAATCTCTTTTAGCCAAGATGATATATTCCTAGTAGACATTTTAATTTTGCAATACACATAAATGGATAGTACCTGTAGGACTCGGTCCATTTCTGTGTGAAGCTTTTTTCTTTTTTTTACAGCTTTTTCACAGGCAAATAAAAAGTCTTCAGTTGATCCAAAATGCTACTGCCAGAGTCTTAACTGGAGTTAGTAAGAGAGATCATATCTCAACAGTTGGAGCGTCTCTACACTGGCTCCCTGTCAAGTCTGGAATTGAATTTAAAATCTTACTTCTAACCTACAAAGCTCTCAACAATCTAGCTCCATC